GCCACCCCCTACCCCTCCCCTCCCCGTCTCCCTCCCCCTCCCCCTCCCCCTTCCGCCTTCCCGCCACTTTCTCCCCCTCCTCCCTTTCCCCTCTCCCTCCCCCCTTCCCCCCTACCCCCAGAGTCTCGTTGGGGTAAATCTGCGTGATAAGCTGTCAACTTCTTCGTCTTAATGACAACATAAATCATCTTCAGAATATCAGCGCGTCCATAAAATAACTTCTGGAGAAAATTACTGCGGTTCACATGCTGGGATCTGGCAGGCGAGGAGGAAGGAGGGAGGAGGGAGGAGGAGTAAAGAGTAAGGAGGGGAGGAGGGAAGGGGAGGAAGAAGGAGGAGGAAGGAGGAGGAGGAAGGAGGGAGGAGGAAAGAAGGAGGGAGAGGAGGAGGGAGGAAGAAGGGATGAAGGAAGGAAGGAGGGAAGGGAGGGGAGGAGGGGGAAGGGGAGGAGGAAGGAGGAGAAGAGAGGAGTGGTAGAATTAATGGTAGACGAGGATGGAGAGAGGGGGAGGAAGAAAGGAAAGGAGGAGGAGGGAGGAGGAAGAAGGGAGGAGGAGGGGAGGAGGAAGGGGAGGGAAGGGAGGAGAAGGGATGAGGAGGGAGGAGGAGGAGAGAGGGGGAGGAGGGAGGAGAGAGGAGGGAGGAGGAGGGAGGAAGAGGAGGGAAGGAGGGGGGAGGAAGGAGAAGGAAAGAGGAAGAAGAGGAAGAAGGAAAGGGTGAAGGAGGGAGGAGGAAGGAGAGAGGAGAGAGAAAGAGGAGGGAGGGGGAAGGCGGGAGAAAGAAGGAAGAAGGGGCGAGGAAGAGGAAGAAGGAAAGGGTGAAGAGGGAGGAGGAAGGGAGAAGGAAGAGGAGGGGGAGAAGGAGGAGAAGAGGAAGGTGAGGAAAGAAGAGGGGGAGGAGGAAGGGGAGGAAGGGGGAGAGGAGGGAGGGAGAAGGAAGGAGGAAGGAGGAAGAAGAGAAGGGGGCTGAAGGTGTGGAGGAAGTGGGGAAGGAGGGGTGAGGTGGTGGATGTGGGGAGGGGAAGGAGAAGGAGGGAGGAAGGATAGGAGAAAGAGGAAGAGGAGCTGGAAGAAACGAGGAAGAGGAGGAGGAGGAAGAGAAGAAAGAGAAGAAGAAGAAGAAGAAGAAAGAAGAAGAAGAAGAAGAAGAAGAGAAGAAGAAGAAGAAGAAGAAGAAGAAGAAAGAAGAAAAGAAGAAAGAAGAAGAAGAAGATAAGAAGAAGAAAGAAGGAGAAGAAAAAAAGAAGGAAAAAAGAAGGACGACGAGGGAGGAGGAGAAAAGCTAGAGGAAGAAGAAGAAGAAGAGCAGGAGAAAGAAGAGGAACGAATGAGGATAAAGGTGGAAACGAAAAGGTAGGGGGAGAGAATAAAAAAAGAGTGATTAAAGAATGGAGAAGGAGAAAATAGATTAAGAAAGAAAAGAGACGAAAAGAAGAGGAAGAAGAAAAGAGGAAGACATGGCGAGAGGAGAAGAGGACTGGGGAGGAGAAGGAAGGAACGAAGAGGGAGGAACCAGTATAATGATAATAAAAAAAACATTAATTCTAATTGACAGAAAAATGCACACACCCCTAAAAATAATAATAATAATAAAAAAAGAAAGCATATCCACCAGCAATTTCAAACCCGAACGCACGAAAACGGCGCCCTCTTTCCCGCCAAAAAAAGGAGAGGAAAAAACAAACGACTATCGCCAAGCGTGGCCAGTCGACAAACCATTGTAGCGAAAAGTAAACCTCGACGATGATTTTGCCGCACGCCACGACGCACGCTAGGCCAATGCACACCATAAAACACCATACTGAAGCACCATAAAACATATTAGAGCATATTTAGGGAGAAGAATGCCGTATGTAGGCAACACAGGAACATACCACATAGAAGAAAATCGTGTTCAAACACCACATACCATACAAGAAAATGTATTTAGAAATCCCAAGAACGTAAAAAATCAAAACAAAAACATATTACATAAAAGAATAGTGTATCCATGCACTATAAACGTATATTAAACCATAACATCATGTTTAGCCACCATAAGTTTATACTAAATGATTTTACAACTAAACACCATCGAAGTATCATAAAAACACCATATTTAGGCACCATACGAAGATACCAAAGCATATTCCACATAGACACCATAAACATACCAGAACACCATGAAAACAAGTCAGATTATAGCACGCCATAAGAGACCATATACCATCCTATCATCATACCAGAAAACTTTTAAAGAATAGATTATACATCACACAGTGAATGAAATATACTATTGCATCTTGATTTATTTTTTAAAAATAGTTTTAAAAATATACTGCACTCTAAAGCACCACACCACGCACCATAAAACACCACAATAACGCAAATCACACTATCAGCACCATACCATACCACTCCAAAGCACACCATACCACACCATTCCAGATACCAGAGTACCTTCCATCGCACCATACCCTATTGCACCATATCGCACCATACCTAAACAGAACACGTCGCAC